GCGGCGTTCCTCGCGTCGCCCGGCCGCACGCCGCGCGCGCACCTGGCCGGGCCGCCCAACGCGCCGGCCACCACCCCCACCCTCGCCGCTACGCCTGCGCCCGGCGCGCGGCGCCCCCCGCCTGCCTTTGGCTACGCCGTGGCCGCGGCGGCGCCCAGCCCGCTGGGGCGGCACGAGCCGCCGCCGTGGCCGCAGCTGCGGCGGCGCAGCCCCGAGCGGCAGCACCTGAGCCCGATGCAGGCCTACGCCGGCGCGGCGGGGGCCCCGAGGCAGCCAGGCCACAGCGGCGTGCCGCCCGCGGTGACCGCCGCGCCCCCTACCGGCCACACGGCCGCGGGTGACTACAGGACACCTGTGCGCTCAACAGCTACCGCGCCCGAGCGGACGCCGCTGCGGCCGGCGCACGCGCCGCAGCAGCCGGGCGGCGGGGTGGGGGGCGGCGGCGGCGGCGGGTCCCCTGTGACAGCGGCGCTCGCGGCTGCGCGGGGGCCAGCCGCCATCCCTGTGAGGTTCTTCCCTCCCTCGGCGAAGAAGGCGGCAGAGCGCGCCGCGCGCCGCGAGGCGCAGCGGGAGGTATGGGGCACGTGGCTGCCGTCGGCCGCCGGCGGCGGCGGCGGGGCGGCCGACTCGCAGCGGGGCGGCGGGGCGGGGCCCGGCGACGGCGTGGCTGCCAGGGCGTTGGCGGCTGCGGCGCCCTCCCAGGATCTGAGCGAAGCTCAGGCGGAGCGCGCCCCCGAGCAGCAGGAGCAGCAGGAGGAGCGCCGAGGCCGCGAGGGGCCGGCGTCCCAGCTCGGCAGCGCCGGCGCGGCGTGGCCGCGTGGCGCGAGCCCGCCGCGGGCGGTCGCCGAGGACGGCAGGCTGCAGCGCAGGGCGGGCGGGCGCGGGGCGCGCGGGCAGCCGGAGATGCTGCGGCGCTTCCTCATGTCGGACGACGCCTGAGAGAAGGGCGCCCTGCTGGCGCCGACGCATGCTGCCATCGGTCCAACGATGCCTGCCGTTTCCCCACGCCTGTTTGTCTGTCCCTGTGGCTGGTGATTGCCAATTGTAAGGCTATGCTTGCTGGTTGGGGCGAAATTGAACCGACACACTCTCAAAAATCACACGAAGTGCAGCGCAGACAGCAATCCAGAGTCCTTCCAATTGTGACGCCTTGTGGCTGGACAGCACGTCGGCCTGGTTCTTCAACGGCTTGGTAGGGAGCAAGAGAGGCGCTGCTTACACACGAGAGGGCGCAGGGCCCAGGGCCGCAGGGCCCCCTTTTGCACAACAGTGAAGAGCGGGGCAGGGCCTGTCACAGCCTGCTCCGCTGGATTCCGTTTGCATTGCGGCTGTCACTGCCGCAGCTTGGTCCCAATGACACATGCACCACATGCCCAACGCGAGAATGAAACCTGACTTGTTTGCCAGCAGAGTAAACAGTCCATGAAACCGCTGCCGAGATGAGGGCGACGCCATCGTGGCTTGCGGCGACGCCCTCGCGGCTTGCAAAAGTGCAAGACTGGCAGCCAGCTTGGTGGCGCCCAGGGGGGGTGGGGCGCCCGCCAAAGCAGGGGTGTGTTGGCGAGGAGGGGAAGGGGGATGGCTGCGCATCCAAGGGTCAACCCACCAGCAGCTGCGCCCCATCGCGAGTGCGCCATTAAACACAAGACTGCGGCGTGCACTCGCGACCGGGGCAACTACGCAGCACAAAGCCATCTGAAAGGAACGAAACAAGCGCGTTTGAAAGACAAGGAGGGCCAGGGCCAGCCGGTCGCAGCGGAGCCACGGCTGGGCCCTCCCTTTGAGGTGCAGATGCTTTGCCCTGAGCGGAGGCCAGGGCTAAATCCTGCCTGGGGGTGTGCCACCCACATGGGGGGCACCTAAAAAACGACGTGAGCCGCGCGTGTCGCGGCGCGGCGGTGGGGCGCACCCCTGGTGCACCTCGACGAATGGGAGGGCGCACGTCTCCGCCAAAGAAAGGGCAGCTGAAACGGGGATCGACCCAGGGACCTCACGATCCGAGGCCGTCCCCCGCACGGCCGTTCTCCAGCTCAGTGGCACTGTCCGCCAGGTCAGATGGCGGCCCCCGGCCCTCAGTGGACGCCGCGTCACACGCGTCCCTGCCGTCGCCAGCGTCGCCGCCGCCGGCGCCGGCGCCGCGCGAGCGCCGCGCGCGCGCCGCGGCGAGCGCCTGCTGCTGCTTCTGGCGCAGCAGCGCCGCGAAGCTGTCCTCGCGTGGGGACGCGCGCGGCTCGGCGTCGGGAGCGTCGCCG